AAGTCATTTATTATAATTTTAGATTTTTTTTGTGTTAGGACTATGTTTTAGTCATTTTGTTGTGTTTTGGTCATTTTTATATTTAGTTATTTATTTTTAAAGTCTTAAAATACTATTATGAACCTTTTAGGGCTAAAGAAGGTACAAAGCTGACCCTTTGAGGGTACTGCCCCAGTGACAAGCTGTTGTACCCCTAAAGGAACAATTTTTGCACATATTCTCTGAGAATTTTCCCAAAGTATATATTCGAGCACCATGGTATTATCTTCACTGTACATGTTTTCTTTGGTAGTGAATGAACTAAATTGAAAGGCATGTAAACATCCTGTGAAATGTATACAAATTCATGACCAGTGGATCCAAATATTTTTAATATTTTAAATTTAAAGCTACAAGAAAAATAATTTCAGTGTTTGCCAATGCATCACAAGTGTTCCTTTACATGCCAAGTATAGCATAAAGTTCTTTGCTATTAAGCTAACAAATGAACATTATGATGACTGTTCAGATTAGAGGTCCATCAAAAACTACCTCGGTCATCATCATTCTTTCTTGCTGATTTGACCAGTTTCATTCTGAGTGTAAAATGATGAGTACACCCAAGATTGCCTGAAAAATCACAAACAAAACATTCATTGCTCTTCATAACTGATGACTCATCACAGCCATTATGACATTTTTGAGCATCATCAGTGAGCGCTGCTTGTATCATGGTGTAGGCCGATGCTGTGATGGGTTTATGTCGGCGTTATGACCTCTGGAGCTCGTGAATCACTTAGTGCTCATCTCTTAAAAATCGTTCTCAATATTAAAGAATAGCAGAGTCCACACCACAGCTATAACGATAAAGGCACAGAGAAACAATATCGTTGGAATCATTTTCAGAACGATTTTTTTTCCAGCTGATGAACGGTACAAACATTGACAGCCAATCAGAATCCATCCTGCTATAACGAGCTCGAGAATTTAAAGCGGCAGACGCATGTGCGCTTAGAATAAACAGACGATATCATTCGCTGGTGTGGATGCTAATATCGTTATCTTTATAGTTATCGTTCTTCGTGTGAACCATCAACACAGTCTATGGAATTTTGGCATCTTTGGAATTCCGCTTCTGAGAGTGGGATCAGTTAGAAAAAATATATCATACATTTTTGTCTCAAAAGAAAATTCAAGCACATATAATACAATAAATAAATAGAAATGTAATGTGTTTACGAATAAAAATTCATATGAAACCATGATGATGTAAAAATAAATAAATAAATAAAAATAAAAACCTAACTTCCAGAAAATATTCTGTCTAATTCTGTTTAATGCATTCAATATTCATATTCTTTTTTTCTTTCATTCTTTCATTCATTTTCTTTTCTTTTGGTGAAATAAAATGAATAAATACTGCAATAATTTCTATGACATTTAATGATGTATTATAAATGTAATACTATGTATTATATATGTATGTATAGTTAAATTGGTGCATAAAATTACAAATAATCAAATATTCTTTTCCTTTAGTAAATTTACTAAGTTCTGCTTCTGAAAGTGGGATCAGCTAGAAAAATATATCAGAAACTTTTCAAGAAAATACAACATCAGTGTGTTGGCTTTCTCAAGCATGCATTATACAATAAATAAATAGAAAAATAATGCTTTTAAAAATAATAATTTATATGAAACCATGAGGTGTAAAAGTATTCTAATTCTGTTTAATACATCCAATATTTACATTAATTCTTTCATTCTTTTTTCCCCCCATATTATCTCTTTATTTCTATTTATTTATTTGCTTGTAAAATAAAATGAATCAATACTGCAATAATTTCTATGACATTTAATGCTGTATTATAAATGTAATACTGTGTATTATATACAGTATATGTATGCATTGATGCATAAAATAATTAAATATTCTTCCTTTCATGATTTAAAAAATTACTTCTTTTAAAGTTTTGAATCTGCTTGGTTACTTTGGCGGTTTGGTTGAAATGACTGGGAAAAATATGAAAATAACATTTCTGATCAGTTCTAGACTGAGGTGTTGTGTGAGGACATGCATCCCAAAACCAGGCGTCTCAGAGCGACACACCCTGCTAAATGAGCGAGTCCTTTCCCTGATCTGAATGAGCTAAAACGAGCTTAGGTTAAGTATAGGTTAGCTCACGAGGAACCATCAGGAGGAATGCTCATCCCAGCAGAGGAACAACTCCCCTCGATATAATCGCCCCGAGCTGTAAATCCAGACCCGCATTTCTGCTGTCTGCGGCCACTTGCCTCACACGGCAATATAAGGAAAGGTCATCATCAACACCAGCCCCCGTCCCAACAACTGTGCCAATGACCTCACGTGGAAGTGTGCATCTGCTTGCTTCCGAGCCACAGAATGTGTGTGTGTGTGTGTGTGTCCTGCAAAACAGGTAGGTTTTAAAAAGAAACGGCTCTGCAGTAAATCTCGTTCTGTTTTCCGAACGCAGGGATGGACCCAACAGCACAAGAAGAGCATAAATTCCAGGACGGAAAGAAGCGTTGGATTAAGTTTCCTTTCAAGCTCGAGGTCCTTGGCTTAGCAGTCTACCCTTTTGGCCTGAAAGCGAGACAGACAGCGAGTGAAAGAGGAGCCATGAGGCTTCCCCTGTGCGCGCCCCCCTCCTTCCACCCTGGGCGGCAGTAAATCAGGATGGCAGTTAACTAGGAAGCAGCTGCTAATCATAGTTTTACTGGGGAGAGCAGGAAGTCATCTCCTGACCCCGCCTGCTGCTCCTGGTCTCCTGTGACTGTGACAAAAGGACAGTATGTGGGCAAAAGCCAAACGTCGGCACAGCCACGGCCTGCTCAGAAAGTGCCACAGGAAACCTGCCTGCGCTGCTATCATATCCACCATCTTCAAAAAACAAAGGCCCGTCTCTTCCACGGCAGCCTCGGCGGAGAAAAAATATCACATGGACTCAGATTTTTGGGGACGCTTCGCACACACTCAACCCAAACCCACAGACATGAAAGCTAAAGGGAAGAGGAAGTTACTAAATATTACTTTCAAAATGTACGTGCCCTTAGTGCACACATGGCGCGAAACTACACATCCCATATGTTTGGGGGAAACTCACGAAACGCCAAGAACATATGGTGAAAAAAAAAAAACAAGATATCCTGGCCATATTCATTCCCACAACGCATAAAATATGGACAAAATAAAGATTATTGGAGCAAGAAAATACTATTTCACAAATGTTTTTTTACCTCAGACGTTTAATTCAATGTGTTACTTGTCATTTCTTTGTAGAATTTCTAAATGAAAATTGTTTCAACACCAAATTTTTTTCAGTACACCAATTCATTCCCCTTTGTTGTCGTCAAATTGTGGTCATGTTGTATTTGTAATTTCTCAATTTATCAATCTAGTTAAATTGTAAATGTAACCAAAATTAACATGAGGAAAATGAAGAGAAAAAATTAAGCCACACATCTACATATAAATAATACATTTATTTTCCTCTGCATGTCACGTGTGGAGCTCCATAATATTTCACTCAAAAGAAAGAAATAAGAAATTATATTTAGCTGAAAAAGAAGGAAGCAAGTTTTAGGGTCATTAATTATTATTATTATTATTATTTTTTGGACATTTAACACTTTTGTCCCCAAATCTTATTATTGTGATTCAAAAAATATCATTCTCATTGCTGTAATGCTGAAAAGAAATGTAATTATAATGAAATGCAATGATAACTATCATATTATATTAATTTATTATTATATTTCAAATTAGTTTAAACTGAACTTATATATTATTAAATATTTATATATTTAAAATATGTTACTTCAATTATATTATTGAAGTATTTACCCATGAAAGTATTTGTTGTACTCACTTTTAAAAAAATAAATAAAATAAAATAAATCATGATTATAGTAAAAAAGTAAATTGTTCTACTACTGAAATGAGAACTTTTTACTTTTTTCTACTAATTTTCAGGTGTGCTGGGAATGTTTTTTTTCGCGAAACTACACATCCCATATGTTTGGGGGAAACTCACGAAACGCCAAGAACATATGGTGAAAAAAAAAAAACAAGATATCCTGGCCATATTCATTCCCACAACGCATAAAATATGGACAAAATAAAGATTATTGGAGCAAGAAAATACTATTTCACAAATGTTTTTTTACCTCAGACGTTTAATTCAATGTGTTACTTGTCATTTCTTTGTAGAATTTCTAAATGAAAATTGTTTCAACACCAAATTTTTTTTCAGTACACCAATTCATTCCCCTTTGTTGTTCATTCCCCAAATTGTGGTCATGTTGTATTTGTAATTTGTTCCCTCAATCTAGTTAAATTGTAAATGTAACCAAAATTAACATGAGGAAAATGAAGGGAAAAAATAAAAAATTAAGCCACACATCTACATATAAATAATACATTTATTTTCCTCTGCATGTCATGTGTGGAGCTCCATAATATTTCACTCAAAAGAAAGAAATAAGAAATTATATTTAGCTGAAAAAGAAGGAAGCAAGTTTTAGGGTCATTAATTATTATTATTATTATTATTTTTTGGACATTTAACACTTTTGTCCCCAAATCTTATTATTGTGATTCAAAAAATATCATTCTCATTGCTGTAATGCTGAAAAGAAATGTAATTATAATGAAATTTAATGATAATTCTTATTATATTTCAAATTTGTTTAAACTGAACTTATATATTATTAAATATTTATATATTTAAAATATGTTACTTCAATTATACTACTGAAGCATTTACCCATGAAAATATTTGTTGTACTCACTTAAAAAAAAAAAATAATAAAATAAAATAAAATAAATCATGATTATATTAAAAAAAAAGAACTTTTTACTTTTTTTCTACAAATTTTCAGGTGTGCTGGGAATGTTTTTTTGGGGTTTTTTTGCAAGAATTATATGTTGGACAATATGATGTTAGTGGTTTATGCAATAATGATGCATTAAAAAATGGTTACAAAACAAAGGCTCTTACTGTGAACACATCATCATCCCCAAGTTCAGCCTCATTCTGGGGTGTTGAAGAGGAAGTTGTGGAACCTAAAATATAACACACAAACAGAGTTTTAGGGTCATTAATTATTATTATTATTATTATTTTTTGGACATTTAACACTTTTGTCCCCAAATCTTATTATTGTGATTCAAAAAATATCATTCTCATTGCTGTAATGCTGAAAAGAAATTTATTTATAATGAAATGCAATGATAACTATCATATTATATTAATTTATTATTATATTTCAAATTAGTTTAAACTGAACTTATATATTATTAAATATTTATATATTTAAAATATGTTACTTCAATTATATTATTGAAGTATTTACCCATGAAAGTATTTGTTGTACTCACTTTTAAAAAAATAAATAAAATAAAATAAATCATGATTATAGTAAAAAAGTAAATTGTTCTACTACTGAAATGAGAACTTTTTACTTTTTTCTACTAATTTTCAGGTGTGCTGGGAATGTTTTTTTTGTCTAATAATTAGGGCTGGGAATCATCTGAATTTTAGCGATTTCGATTCTGCTTATCGATTCCGATTCTTAGTGATTCCTAGTTTAGATTCCAATAATGTATAAAAGAATTAAATCAAACATCTAGATATCAAACATATTTATGTTGTGTCTTTTTGCAAAACATTCTGTTGCAGCTGAATATCATGAACAAAATTCAACAGCCTACAAAACAAAAATCAGCAGCCTAAAGAACACTTACACAAGGAACTTTTGCCTATGGTTTTAACAAAAATATAACAACAAAAAATAAACTAGACTAACTAATATAGATTTCGAACATTAAAACAAGTAAACAGTCTAAAATAAAAACATAAACAAACTAGCAATAGCACAAATAAATACAACTAAACAAAGTTCAGATACAGAAAGTGAAATCAAATGTAATCAAATGTAAATTAACACTGCATAGTTTTCTTTTTATAAATAAGATATAGATTAATCCTTATTAAAGTTACAGAAGTTATTGAGTCAAGATCACTGAGTGATTTTCTTTTTCTTTTGTTCTTTGATTAACATTAATGACAGAAAGTAGCAGTATTATTAGTAATCTGACTCGCGTGAATCTTCTTTCTTTACGTTTATGTAAACTTAAGGCAAAACTGTCTGTGTTTACAAGGATATTTTGACATCATTTTGTGTGCATTTCTAGAAGATGTGAAAGAGAACAAAACTCAGTATTCACGCACTATATAAGAAGCAGCTTTTTTCCTGCGCATGTGTGCGCAGCACAGAAAACAGTGTGTGAGTGCCGAATTGAGTTCTCTTTCTCATCTTCTTCTCTTTGAATGGTTTAAAATCACATTAAAGTGCACACACATGAATCGAGTAGCAGAGTCGAAATGCGTGTGTCGTATCGATTCCACGGTTCTTGGAATTTTGGAGCCGGTTCTCAATAGCCAACCCTATGAATAATAAGGGCCATACTAAAGTAAGTATTAAGTCAGCAGGTCAGGTGATCTCAAGATGGCTGCCACCACGAGGGGAGACCCCACTTATAGAGTCTTCATTTTATGTGAGCGTGCAGAATTTAAAGAAACGTGTTAAAGTTACTTTAAAAGTACTTTACTGTGTGTTTAGGTCTAAAACAAGCTTTTTTGGAGTGGAAAGATATGTATATGTAATCAACACATCCATGTAGAAAAAATCTAGTGCACCTTTAAGCCTGGATACATGTGTTTTGTCTAAATCCAAAGTAGTGTTTTTCTGCTTTCAATGTTCTTACCCTCCGTTATGTCCTCCAAGGCTTTCCGCAGACCTCTGTCAAAGGCACGGGCATCGGCGGGGCTCTGGAACGTTAGGCCGCATTTTTTGTTGTCGACCTTCCAGTGGTGAAATGTGGGCGTGGCCTTGGTGTAGATCAGATCCTTCCTCACGAAACATTCCAAAATCACCTGCCAGCCAAAACAAGTGAGACATATCAGAGACGGAGCCCACAGCCTGCCGCTGCTCTGCTCTGGTAGAGGTCACTGCCTGAGAAATGTCTTGCAAATCACATAACAAATGGATTCGTAAACAGATTTGTCTTGGAAAAGAACCCAGCATGCAAAACTCCCCGGGTTGTAAATCAGCTTGATTTCCTAAAAGCCCCTGGGGAGGAAGAAGACTATGAATATTCGTGCCACACCTGCTTGTCTTTGAGGCGCTCGCCGTGGATGAGGAAGTCACTGTGGCCGGTCAGCTCAGCAGACATCACCTTACAGACGCCCACCCTGCTGAGGCCCCCACCTTCCTGTGCCAGCCATCCCCCACTCGAGTCATCTCGGGTCATGACCACCGCTTTCATTACCTTCATTATTCAGTGTCACATGAATCTTCAGAAATCATTCTAATATACTGATTTGCATACTCAAGAATCATTTATTATTATTATCGATGTTGAAAATATTTGTGTTTTTTGATCATTTTGTGGAGTTACTTATTTCTCAGGTTTCCTTGATAAATAGACAGTTCAAAAGAAGAGTATTTGTTTAAAACAGAAATCGTGTGCAACGTTATGAATTGTTTTACTATCACTTTTGATCAATTTAATGCTTTCTTGCTGAAAAAACGTATTAATTTCTTTCAAAAGAAAACATAAAACTTACTGACCTAAAACCTTTGAATAGTAGTGTAATTTCGATAAATAAACTTTTTATTTTATCATTGAAATAAATTTTATTTCAATTAATAAAATATCATATTTTAGCCACACTGGCCAGCTGTACTCTAAATCCAGCTGTGTATTTTCCATTCATCTGCGGCTCTACACAGTGATGTCAGACATAGCAATGGGGAAATCAAGCATCAACACCTCAGGCCAAACAAGATGGCCTGTCAGTAAGAAACTCACAATATTCACAGTGTTACACATGGCCAGAGGACAAGAAAGCAAAATTAAAATCAATTTGAAAAAAGTCATCCCTAGAGGCATCTGCACTCAGACTCGAGCCAGGTTTACTTTCAAACGAACTCAACTGTTCTTCCTCTGCAATGCTGTGAAAGCCAGCAGTCAGCCTTATATGGTAACTTGAGCTGGCGTGTTCAATAATTAACCAGAGAAGGAGAGCGGACGGGTGAGGAGGTGAGGGCACGTCTCTCAAGACCAGAGAGCAACGAAATCAATAGAATGAGCCAGAGGAAGGAAATGGCCTCGTGTACGTGTGAACGCTCACACTCTACATTAAGCCCTCAAACTTCTGACTCATAAATAACCAGTCACTTTTTAAGATCTCAAATGTTTCCCATGAGACTGCAGTGAGATGTAGAGCAAATTAACTTCTTAGATCTCAGGCATGTCTCCTCCAGAGTTTCAGAAGAGTTCTCAACAATGTCTCAAACAGTATACGATAAATAAACTTTTTATTTTATCATTGAATCATTTTATCATTTTATTTCAATTAATAAAATATCATATTTTAGCCACACTGGCCAGCTGTACTCTAAATCCAGCTGTGTATTTTCCATTCATCTGCGGCTCTACACAGTGATGTCAGACATAGCAATGGGGAAATCAAGCATCAACACCTCAGGCCAAACAAGATGGCCTGTCAGTAAGAAACTCACAATATTCACAGTGTTACACATGGCCAGAGGACAAGAAAGCAAAATTAAAATCAATTTGAAAAAAGTCATCCCTAGAGGCATCTGCACTCAGACTCGAGCCAGGTTTACTTTCAAACGAACTCAACTGTTCTTCCTCTGCAATGCTGTGAAAGCCAGCAGTCAGCCTTATATGGTAACTTGAGCTGGCGTGTTCAATAATTAACCAGAGAAGGAGAGCGGACGGGTGAGGAGGTGAGGGCACGTCTCTCAAGACCAGAGAGCAACGAAATCAATAGAATGAGCCAGAGGAAGGAAATGGCCTCGTGTACGTGTGAACGCTCACACTCTACATTAAGCCCTCAAACTTCTGACTCATAAATAACCAGTCACTTTTTAAGATCTCAAATGTTTCCCATGAGACTGCAGTGAGATGTAGAGCAAATTAACTTCTTAGATCTCAGGCATGTCTCCTCCAGAGTTTCAGAAGAGTTCTCAACAATGTCTCAAACAGTATAAATGACTGGGAGAAACCACAACTCAATATAGTAAAGGAAGTCCCGCCCATCAGTTAAAAGAGCCAGTCAGTAAATGCAGCATCCCACATGCACATTAGATAGAAGCAAAACTATACCGTTTTTATCAGATAGTATTGGTGATTTGACGTTTTTGAAAAACGGACTTAGCCAGTAATTTAGAAGAATTTTCCATTCAAATAGACAGGAGCTGTAGCAAGACTATTGGTTAGACAGAAAACTGTGTGGCTGCCAAGTGGACTGACTTGCCTTGAAGGAAATTTGGCTCAGAATTGCCAAGTTTGCAATAAAAAGTCAGAGATTTCAGTGTGAAATCAAACATGTCTTTTTCAGACCTAATGATCTGCACTATGCTGCCAAATCTATTTTATTATAACTCTACCTTTACAAAATATATGTTTATTTAACTGTACAATTAATATACATATTTAAAGCTAAAAATAAGACCGTATATTTCAGTCTTTTTTATGTACTTGCCAGAGATATACTTAACAAAATTACTTAAGTACACTTGGCTTATACTGACATGAATTTGACCTGAACTGAATTTGATCTTTTTTGCACACAGTTCTATTAATCTACACAGAAACAGATAAACATTTGGTTGATTTTACTGACAATTCTTCCACAGCGTAAATAAACGCTAAGTATGATTGTTACGTTCAGCTAAAGAAAACTTACAAGTGTAATTTCAGTAGGGCTGCACGATTATGACAAAAATCATAATTGTCGATTATTCCCTTGAAATTGTAATTGCGATTATTAATTACGATTATCACAATTTACATTGAATGATGTTTATATTTCAGAATAAAAAAATATTTATAATATATATTCGTTTTATACTATAATATTTAATATTTATAGTAGTTTACTGAGAGTATACTTCAAAGTGTAGTTTCATAAACTAAAGCTAAAAAAGTCTCAAAGTCTATTATTGTTACACAAAAAAAATACACTTTTTTTAACCAAAACGTGGGCAAGTTTAGCCCTAATAAGTATTGGAATAGTACACTTAAAAGTATATGGTACATTGATTTTAGTATACTTACATAAAGTAAACAGTATGCCACCAATTAAATAATTTGTTTCTATTGTTATGACTGAATCTGAGACAAAGCCGATGCTTCAATGAAATATCCTGAAAGTAGAGCAACCTTTAAGCAATAAAATGTTCCTCTGGGATGTGATGTTGAATTGAAAAGCATCTAGAACAATCCAGATTCTGTCTAATGAAAGAGAATACGACATGGTCTACAAAACACTGAGCCATGGCATAGACCGCAGCAGCCATATGAGCGGGTATTACCATCATCCATTTGTAATTATTATACACAGTGACTGGCCCAGGGCCTACATAGATGTGGCTCCTCTAGTGGAAAGAAACAGAGAAATGCTGTCTGTGGGATTAGAATTAATGAGGGAGGAAGTCCTGTGGGAGCAGCACCGTCTAATGTACTTACACTAAGAGAGCCAGGCCAGGGGATTGTCTCCATGCCAGAGTCATTCAATATCAGCGGCTAATTAAAATCAAATCAAATGTAACTCCTAATAAAACTAGGTGTTTTTCATAATTGAATGAGCGGAGGGCTGGTGATTCCTTTCTAAGCTGCAGCTGTCGGTGCGATTCACACCACACGTCATTCATGTCCCGGGGGATGTCTGGGGTTCTGGGGACCAAAAGCTGTCAGCCTATACCTGAACAGACTCATGGAAAGTTTGTCCGATCAAAGCACACATTTGTAATCTTTCAAGAACATGTCAAGGGCATATTTCACCTCAAAACCATAATAAAAATGTATGTATAATATAACAGCATTATTTTAGTATTATTTATATACTGTTATAGTATTTAATATTTTCATAAATATTCTAAATAATATTTTTAAATGAAACTTTTCAGTTTTCATTTTAATTAAATTTTTAGAAATTTCAGTAATATTACATTTACTTATTTCACTTAGTTGCCAGTTAAAAATTTCAGTTTAGATTTTTCATCTAATATCCATATTTTATTTTATTATTTATAGTTTTGAACTCATACGTCATTCCCCGGAACTGCTTCCATGTACAACTGTTGGCGCAAGCTAGATTAAAGTGATTATTACGTTTTGAATATGGATATTTTTCTTACAAAAACGCATCGATTCGCTACAGGAGGCCTTTGTTCACCCCCCGGAGCCGTGTGAGACACTTTTTTTTATGGATGGGCGATTTTTATTTAAGTTCTTTTGGACTGAAGCAATGCAACACCCGCTGAGTGCCATTAAACAGCTTGAAAGATCAAAGACAATTTTTAATATAACTCCGACTGGATTCGTCTGAAAGAAGAAAGTCATATACACCTAGGATGCCTCGGGGGTGAGTAAAACGCAGCCTAATTTTCATTTTTGGGTGAACTAGCCCTTTAATGGTTAAATATTTCTTTGTAATCATGGTAATATTGATGTAATTCTCATGAAACCATAAACTGTTAAAAAAAAAATAATAATAATTAAAACCAGAAAAACAATTATTAATCATTTACAAGGCTGCTGGATTTGGAGCAAACATAAAGGAAAACTACCATGTTTGTCAAGCCAAAATGTCCAATATCAGTTACTTGACTGGTGCATATATATTGATTAAAAGCATTGCGAATATTACTGATAAGCTCTTTCACAACAGGTCTAAAAGAGGACGCATGATAAAACCTGGATGTTAAACGCAGAAAGGCGAGTGAAAATGTCACTGAAGTATGTGTGAGTGTTTATGTCTGTGTGTGTGAGAGAGTGAGTCATTCCATCCATCTGTGATGTGGAAATTTACAAAAAACAGCTCTTTTTCCTCGTTTTTCCCTCATGCTGTTTGAAAGATCGCACCCCTTTACACTCTGGTGAGTGCAGGAGGGCACGACAGGGTGAATGGGTGAGATATCTATTAGAAATATAAGCGCAAATAGGACTGATTGTCAGTGTGAACATGTCCACTCATTTTACGCAAAAAGATACTGAAATCTTCTCTTTCATTTCTAACACACTCTTATTATAATCAGTGAATGTAATGAGGAAACGTCTGATTAAAATTAGAGACGGCTGTTTCCTTCCTGTGTGATGTCAATGTTGCTTCCTGTTGTTTATCTCCTTTGTCCTTCCAAGGACACTAGACATCTATAACAGGAGACTTGCTTTTTTTTACTCACATCTTTGGCATTTTAAATCATCAACTTATTTTAGAATTCTTTGCATTA